GGATTCCTTCTGTTTCCTGGGGCTCCATCCATCACCCAGGACCTCAAGTGGGAGCTGAATATCAGCTCCATCACAAAAGAAGGCTCAGCAGAGGTTGTTCTTCCTGAGGCAGCTGAAGAAATTCAACCTGCCAAAGACGATGATGGTCCACTTCTACACGGCCATCATCGAGTCCATCCTCTGCTCCCCCATCACCGTCTGGTACGCTGCAGCCACAGCCAAGGACAAGGGCAGGCTGCAGCGTGTCATCCGCTCTGCAGAGAGGGTGATCGGCTGCAATCTGCCGTCCCTGCAGGACTTGTTCGCTTCCAGGTCACTGAAGCGAGCTAAAAAGATTGTGGCCGACCCCTCCCACCCCGGACAACACCTGCTTGTGCCCCTTCCATCTGGCAGGAGGCTGAGGTCCATCAGGACTAAGATCTCCCGCCACACGAACAGTTTCTTCCCGTCGGCAGTCGGGCTCATCAACAGAGCCCGGTCCCCCACTGACTGACTATGACATTCTACCGGTCCCTCCCCTTCACACTGCACATGTCACTTTAACTGTAATTTATCACTTTGTCACTTGTTCGCCAGTGCACTTTATGCTTAATATTTTTTACTTTTTTAATATTTAAAATGTTTAACTCTAACTTTATTCTCTTGTTTTATACTAACCCATAGCCCTATTCTACTAATCTTTCATTTTACCTTATTTTATTACTTGTGCACTGCTGTCTTGTTGTCTATTCTTACACTGTCTACTGTCACGCACCAACCGCCAAGACAAATTCCTTGTATGTTTGACATATTTTGTCAAAAAATGTTTCCTGATTCCTGAAAAAGTTGGGAGAGAGCGGCGCAGTCATTACTCACACAGACGGAGAATGAGGTGCGAAATAGGAGCAATTTGTGCCTCGTCTGCACCGATGGGTTTGTGTAAAGGGTCGAGGGAGCTTGCTGAACTGTTGCATACGAACCATGGGGTTTAAACCTCCGAACAAAGGAAATGCTCCTTCCCTCTCGTCCGGGCAGGGGACGAGAAGTCAAAAATAGTCAGCCGGCTCAAGTTTAAAATGAAAAAGAATTTGATAACTAACAGAAGCAATGCAATTGCAAAGTGAAAGACGGTTTGAATAGTGTAATATTTTGCGAGATAATCTCTTTCCCCACGGTTGATTCCGACCTCAAAGCATGGCTCTCCAGAGGTTCTGGCTCTCCTCAGTAGGCTACAGTCTTTTTGAATCTCGCATTGATCAATGATTACACCTTTGACCTAAAGCTTCTTCATGTAAACATAACTTAGCATGCATAATATCATCACCATCGAATATAATCATGACACATCTTAAGTCATCACATTTAACCCTTATGTTCAACTCATTTTATAAGGTCCAAAATCAAAACAATTGGCTCGGTGGGCTTTTCTACATCCTATGCTCCTACAATTCTATCACTAGTCATGATCACACAGATTATGAAGCGTACACTTCTGCTTAAACAGAATACCAAATAACTTCCAACCATTCCAAAGAAAAAGTCATGAAATGGGTTCTGGACACAACAGTTTTCTTGGAGGATTAATATCTCCGCCAGGATGCAATAAAAAGGTAAAGTGACAGTATCACTTGGAGAAAACACACTAATAGGACCCGGTAACATATGGCAATTTGTCTTTCTCCATTCCATTTACTGCATACTGAGATCAGTACAGGAAACAGAACACATATAGCTTCACTTGCAGAAGTATTAATCTAATCAGTTCTCGCCATTGCCAGATAACAACAACAAAACAGGCTTTCCCATTTTAATCATTCACAGACATTCAGATTCAGAAATAACTTTTGCATAGCGAAATGTCCAAAACATTTCTATGACAAGACACATAGAAGAGTACTTTTGGAACAACTCGGCTCAGCTGGTTGTAATTGACAGTGTTGTTTCATTTACTGATCTGTGAGGAGGTGACAAGAAAATCACCTTCGGGGGATTTTCTGAATGTTTACTGCAGAATGCAAATTACACACTGGGTTATATGTGACATAACATATACATAATACTACTTCAGGATAATGTTATCATGTCTATAACTATTGTCGGCTTGCAGAGACCCACCTCATGTCTTCACCTGTTGGATGTAGGGTTGTTGCACCGACACAAGGGCACCTTGCCACAAAGCCCATTGGTGCACCATGTGTAAAAACACACAACCTCCTGGGACCCTTTCTCATCACTTGCCATGTGGGGGTAACACTCTCTATGCAGGTGGTACACACAGTAGAACTCCCACTTAAATGGACAATAAGAACACTGCCTTATTAAGACAGCCAACGCAGCTCAATCTTTTACAAATATTATTCTTTCAAAATTGCTTTTTGTTGCATTTTGCCTTTATTGGATCGTCAATGAAGAGAAACCAGCAAACAAGGGTGCAAGAAAGGGGCATAGTATACAAGGGCTCCAACTAGAATTGAATCAGATGAATTACAGGTATACGGTCTGCACTGTAATCGTATGTGCACCATAAATTAGATGCTACATATGCTTATTTTTTGAGAAAGGACCTAAATAATCCCTGAGTTAGTTCAATATGTTCAAAAGATAAATTAAGGGCACTCTCACCTGAAGATATCAGTTCTCCCTTTACAAGAATGCCCACTTTACTGTGCAGTGTGCAGCATTATGCATACTGTATTATTTCAGCCTATAATAAATCATGTATTTGAATATTTCTATGTTTTAAGCTCTCATAGTCTAATCTTTCAACATTTTAATAAGAAAATGAATAATTAAGAACAAGCTTTTTTCATTAAAACATATTTTCACATTCACAGGAGCGGTTCTTGGAGTTATTTTGCTGTGAGCTCCATGCAAGGAAGCTTGAAAGGAAGCTCCCCGTCTCATTTGGATTTGTGTTTGAAGCTCTAGAAGGATCGAGGTCTGGATTGGTTTGACATAAGAAGCACAGCTGGGTCAGAAGCTCGCTGATCACTGAGTAGGCTACACGTCTCTAGTGCACGTGCACACACACACACACACACACACACACACACACACACAGTGCAAAACGACTATCAGCACGCTGTCGCTATAAGTTATCAGAGTTAACTTAGAGACATATTCACTTTTTTGGTATCATTTCCCCCTGAAACATCTATAAAGCTATAAAACAAAGATGATTTTTGGCAATATCATTTTTCAAAAATATTTTATTTGATATTGATCCAGGTACAAGGAAATAATATAACATGAATTTATCTTACAGGCCATGTGAATGAGACTGTAAAAGTTTATTTTCTTGATCACTCTCTTCTTGGACAAGCACATGCAAGTGAATACAGAAGGTGTCGTACAGACAAACGGCCGATGTACTGTACTGTAGAATCGGCCGTGAGTGTCCTCCTCGTACTGTACAGAAAGACTTCACCCAACAACTCTTTTTGTCATCATTTTTAATCTTTTCTTTAGCAAAAAGGCAACACACAAATAGGCTACAAAGAATCAACAATATTGAGAAAATTAACAAAAGAGAGGAAAAGCCAAAGTACTTTTATCCTTCCAAAAAGACATTTTCTCTATTGTCTTGACAAGCAAGTTGTGAGCGTTTTTGCTCCTTGTGTTCGATAAGGTTTTAAGTTGCTTTAGTTTTGACATGAGAGGAGCAGTGCGGTGAACATGCAGGACGAAGAGTGACTCCGACGACTACTGACCCGGCCTTTCATCGTGCTGTGAGCACAGTGTGCCTATCGTCTGCTTATGGCCTCGCTGCTCGGCCTCGGACGGCCAACTTCTCACGGAACGAAAAAACACATATTATATTCCACCAATCTTTATGCATATTTCACAATATACTTTTATTATCATTTTAATAAATACAAAACGACACTGTGATTCAAAAGAAGACAATGAGTATTAAAGAGACACTAAAACGCATTAGACATTAGAAATATCAATCTTAATTTGGTATGTTCTTTTAATGACATCTTGTCTTAAGGTGGATGAACCAGCACATTATACTCGGAATCAAAATCCACTGCAGAAAAAGAAAAGAGGGAACGACAGAGTCGGACACGAGAGAGGGATATTCTCAATGAAAATGGAATGGAATAATCAGGTGGAGATGCATATGGATATATACACATATATATACATACATAAACACCACCAGAATGTAAAATAACCTGAGATACTCTTTGCACCTCATTTCCAGAAGACTGGCCACTGGGTGGATGATATAAAATGACAATGGCATGACGACAACAGCACAACAGCATCTGACGGCCTTCCACCCACCTTTATTAATATTAGCGGTACAAAAAAAAGACAAAACAAACAGTCAGTTTACCACAAAAATCCTGAACAATTATATTGAAAACATTGTTGTAAGCAGCGTTTTGGAGTCCATAAAAGGCATACAAAGGAACGAGCTTTTCATTAAAAAAGGACAACCAATAAAAACATTGTCTCAAAGACAAAAGCAATTGAGATTCAGAGGCTGGGAAGCGGCGGATGACGAGTGTGTGTTTTGTGGCGGTGAGGCAGAAAGAAAGGGTTCTGCTTCGCACTCCGGCTGTAGACATGGAGGCAGTGAGGCCCGCTAGTTAATAATCGAGGCTTTTCTCCATTGTCACTTTTTTGGGGGGGTTCAATCAGTGACTCTCAGCTACGTTGTAAATCACCGTTTCTTCTCAAGTTATTGACACAAGGCTGCGCTGACTATAGTGTATCGGTAACTGAACCACCAACCTTTACAGCAACAACTACACTAATAGAATACCCAATATTGACGGCACTTAGCTGGCCCAAACGGGTAAATTTGTTGTTTTCTTGGATGATACTGCAACACAGATAATTTGACTAACATTAAACAGTAAGTGCTTTAAAAGCAAACAATATTAAAATGATGGAACGTGAAATTCCAAATAAAAAAAGTTGTAAACAAATTATACTCCACTGATATTTTAGCAGGTTTGAAAGTATCATTGCTACTCATCCCAATAAATACTCCGTTGTGATGTCTGCTTGCCTGTTAAGGCTGCAGAAGAATTAAGATTCTGCTCCTGTAAGTTGTATGAATGAAGAGCAGCGCGAGGACAGATTTTACCGGTTCCTCCTCGCTTTTAGCGGTTCCATGGTTGGTGTGCCGTTATCCAGAACGGGGAGTAGTTCAGTTATTTAGGCGTATTCATGACAACTAAACTCAAACGCAGGGTCTAATACGTGTAGACACTTGTTTCTGAAGACAGCAAAGCCTCCAGTTGCCCCAAAGCATTGTCAGCTAGATAGCTCTTAAATCAAAATACTGATTTAGGACAGCTATTTAGAAATGAAATAATCAACTTGGTCACCTACAGTAATACAGTATCCTCTGTGTACATATCTGCCCTTCAGACCCTCGAGGACCTCGTCTGTTTGCCCCGTAATTAGTCTCCACCATGGAAATGGATGCCTTTTTTTCTCGCCGTCTGTGAGCAAAGCCGTACTCTTTAATATCTCTCTGTACATTAGTATATCATTTTGTTCTCTTTACTTTACAGTACAGAAACTCCTCTTCACATATTATTCCGGTTCTTCATGTCAGCAGGAGCTATGTTTTTGTGCTTATCACCAAAAATTGCAGTGCAAAAACAATAATTAAGAATAATAATAATAATGATAATAATTAATGGTAAGTATTAACAAACAATGGATTATAAAACAATTATTGTATGGCACAACAGCCACTCAATTCACATATAATACAAATAACCAGATAAAACCAATTGTTACTGTATATGTAAATTAAAAGCTCAAACTAAATTAGGCTTGCATAGCAATGCAACAGCGAGTTAAAGAAGATATTTACAGGAAACAAAATTCTCTTCTCCCAAAGGGAATTTGGCAGAAATGTGTTCTCGTATAGATGTTCTTTTTTTGTTGTTTTTGTTTACTTGCCTTTTTATAACAAAAAGAAAATTACAGTAAGGTAGGAGGTGGAAAATATTTTCTTGAGGACAAAAAACATAGTGAGATGTACAGTATGTCTGTGTCTATACATCACATTTACAGTTTTGTGACACTGCTTTTCTCTGTCGTCTCCTCTACTGCAATCCTTCCCTCTGAGAACACACAGATGGGGACAATGTTCATTGCCCCGAGAAGGAGGGCCCCATTCTTTTGAGGAAAGACCCAGGTTTTTTCAGTTCACATGGCAGGCAGATCACTCTGGTAGAGAAGGAAAGTAAGAAGAAAATTATTTAGAAAACTGAGAAAAAATTTGGGGTAATTGTTTGGCAAAAATCTGAATTAGAATCAACCCTATCGAGACACATACATGCAAGGAATTTAACTACAGATCAATCGGCGATAATACCGAATAACAATCGCTACATTCAGCTGGTTACATCATCAATAAAGTTTTGGCGGTTTGTCAAAATACACGCAGTGCCCTATATTGTAAAATACAATCAAACGAAATACACAATCACTCACATAACTCCCCTGAGTACTGTCCCTGTCCATTGGTCCCCAGGAATTCAGCGTGCTCTGTGGCGGTCCACTGTTGTGGCTGCCGTGGACCCTCGGCCTTGCGCGGCCCTGTCGAGCCCTTGGAGGAGCCTGTGCCAGAGGAGCTCTGGCCCCCCGGGGAGGGAAAGGATGGCTTGTTGTATGGCAGACACCCGTCCTCTGAAAAAAACGGGCGTGCTAAAAGTCTTAAAAAGTAGACGCAATTCATTACTTTTATTCTTGCGGTGAAACACATTTAGCATCTGACGCATAGAGATAAAGAGCAGTCTTTGAACCCCTCCACCCCCCCACCCCTCCTCCCTGACATCTGCAGAGTGGTGTTGCCAACAGGCTATGCCAGGGCGTGCCACAGAGAGGACTCTCAGCCTCACACATGGCCCTGCAGCTACCAGCCTTATAACGGGGCAAATACAACAAGAGAGGGGCCGCTGGTTGCCGTGGAGCCCCCCCTGCTGCAGGGCAGCACAACATTGACCCTCAGCAGCTTCCGTCGTGGCGTGAAATCTCATCAATCTGCTCCCCACCGCTCCGCTAATGACTGCCATAGCGGCTGCCGCGACCTCGGTGGATTCTACCGTGAATCAGTCAGCACTCTGACACGTACGGGGATTCACCTCCCTTTCTTTTCTTTTTTTTTTTTGGTAAAGATGCGGATTGTGGCACCTGTCTTTGTCTCACAGTCTCAAGATCAAGTGTCTGAGGGACCTGGCAAAAAAGAGGGCAGGGCGCACAGCATGGATAGGCCTAATGGTCACAAACCCGCGATGCGCACACACACACACACACACACACACACACACACACAGACACACACACACACACACACACACACACACACACACAGACACAGACACACACACACACACACACAGTTGGGGCGTGGAGTGGCTGCTGTTTGTGTGAGAAAAGAAAGCCGAAGCGATTAGAGAGCATTTCATTTGCTGGGGCCTCCTGCTTTACTTGGAGAGGAGCAGGATGGTGTTGGCAACAGTTACAGGGGCATTGGGGAGGCTGAAGGGGGCATTTTGGAAACCAGAGCAAGTGGCAGACAGCGCAAGCTGTTCATGGGAGCCCAGTTTCATCGCAGCATGCTGGCTAACTTCAACACCAGAACTTGAGAACAATGCCTCGCTGTCGAGCTACAGCAGCAAAAGTCCTTTGTCTTTGTTGTTGTGTTGGTGGTTTATCTCCTTTCTAAATTAAGAGATTTAGTCAAGAACAGGAAAATGTCTAATTGTTTAGAATTACCTAGATAGTTTATTTCCTTTTTCTCAAAATCATTTTATGGATGATGTTTGGTTAGAACGCGGTGCAGAACTGAATTAGGTGGTAGGTGGTTATTTAAAAGCCTAAAGTGCACTATCCTAAAAAAATTGTGTATGTATAACGTGTTTGGTGATTCCCTTATTTTCCCTCCGCCAGCATAAGCATGTTAAGATGTCCAGCTTTTCAATACTTTGGTTCAAGATAAATTGAAAACACAAAGACCACAGACTCAACAGACTCTACGGTTAATGGGAAAATAGTGGCTGTTCTAAATATCCATTTACATGCCAGAGTTGATATAATGACATATCACGCTAAGCGGGAGAAGGCTGCAATTGCCAGTATTGGAATGACCCCACTAACGTCAGCATGTTAAGGAGCATGAGGTGTGGAATACATTCACAGGGCCGTCGGCTGAACACGTCGGTGTGGTTCCAGCTCTACCTGCTTTGTGTCCCCTGCGGCCGTCATCAGTTCGCTCCACGGAGCCCAGCCTGTCCTGAACGTGGCGATGATGCTCCAGAGAAGTGCGTGTCTGCCTGTCCACGGAGCTCTTCATGTCCTCCGGCCCCGATAGGGGTCCTGACATAGGCGGGCGCTCCAGAGAGGAAGCCTTCCTTTCTGTTTGGGGTCCCATGTTGTTTACGCTGCGGGCCCCTTGGATACGGCCCGGACCCTGACAGGGGGGAGGCTCAGGCGGAGGAGGTAGGTCTGAGGGGGGAAAGCCACAGAATGAATAGACTTATTAGATGTTTTCCACACGCATTTACATCCATATTAATACAACTCCCTCTGGTTTTTAAAACAACAACAGGTGTTATGGAGCACCTTCTCCATGAACTATTTCAAAAGCGTGACTCACCGTCTGCACCAGCATCTCTCCGGTGGGGGGCTGTGCCCTGGCTTCGGGGTTTGCGTGTGGGTCTGGTGGCCCTCTGGTGGCCCAAGCTGTGTGTGCCGACTGTGCTGCCATCTGTTGAGAATGGACTGCTTGGCCGGGGCCTGTGGGACAAGCCTTTACCTGCAGGAGGGATACAGGAGCCCAAGCCAGCTGGTCAATAAAGAGACAAGAAGGGGCCAACACCAAGACAGTGAAGTCATTCAACATTTAGAAACCCCAAGGTAGGAAGATTCTCATTAGAGCAGAGAGAACTCGGTAAAGCCCGCGAAAGGTTGCTAGCATAACATATCACCCAGTTCTTTCGCATTCAATCCAAGAAAGCCAGAGCGCAAAGCCGAATGAGTCGCAGAGGAACAGAGGACAGGGAGATGTCTGCACACCAGCCTTGTGCTACAGGTGCCATGCACGACTTAGGCACAGTGTCTCCAAGCAGTAGAAAGGGAAATCCAACATTAAGCCAAAAATATACCGGGGAAAACATCAGCCAATGGACGACAAGAGGAGAAAATCTGAGCAGAGGGAAATATCGTTTGCCACTGGTGCGAGTTCCAGTCGGCAGTGTGCAGACGGTCCCCACACACCAACCTCTCTTGCTGAGGCTGGTGCCCTCCAGGCGGTAGCCTGCCTTGTCTGCAGCGGCCACCAGGGCCTGGGCAAAACTGCAGTGCGTAAAGATGGAGCCATCAGACGAACTACCCAAACTGGACCTGTGGCTGGAGAAATTACGGTCGTCCTCCGAGGCCGAACCCCACCCATTGACCATGGACCCTGTGGAACGGCACAAATGTTTCAGCCAAATGTGCTTTTGCGTGTGTTTGTGAGGGAGATTGAAGATTTCCAATTCAGCCGCATCACGTTCACACAGTACAGCTCAGCGGCAGTGACCTTTAAGAACATATAACACCTGCGCTGTGATTACACATTCAGATCCGTCCCGTCCTCTTTCATCTACTGCAAACTAAAAATATAAGTCATCACAACACAAAAAGTCATGTGGACACACACACAACCAAAGGTGCACAAAAACACACACGAGAATGCACACAATGGAACAGCTGGACAGGCATCAACTAATTTTGCTCTTCCTTTGATAATGGACGCACCTGTGCAGCGCAGACTGAGCTACTGCCTCAGGTGACACACATGAAGCATTTGAATCAAACACCTGGCGCTATGCACAAGTTTTGTTTACTCCTTTTAAAAATGCAAAGCCACCGACGTCTAAAAGCTGCCACATCTTTTAGGAAAGAGGGAAGTTTAAGACAAAATCAAAGTATTTGTCTTTTAGTTTTAGGCACACAAGTGTTGCTTTGAAGATGATGAAATAAAAACCCTACTGTATTTGAGTATTTGACACGCTTAAGAAAGACTTTTTGCTCTTACATATATGGAATTGTAAGAATCTTTTCATGCTTTAATTTTTATTTTTCTCCATGTAAAAAGCAAGGCCACCGCTTTAAATATAAAAAAAAAACATCATCCTGCCAATAAAAAATATGACACTTTGGCAAGCAAATAACACAGAACAGTAGAGTAATGTGACAGCTTTCAGTGGGACCGGTTTGGCAGACTTTGCTCAAGTGGCACCATCCCAAATGTTCTGCTCCCACCCTTTATCTCTCCCTCACACAGAACACAAGAGGGATGGATTGAGCAGATTGATGTAACACAGACCTGGGGAGGGTGTCTGGGTAAAGGTTGTAGTTGGAGCAACAGGGACAAAAAGTTAGCAGCAGGATTTATTAAAGGTCACACAAAAAATGATTATGTGGCATTATTCCGTCCGGATGGATGGATATTCCGGCTGCTTGCAACATCTTAAAAACACATTGGATATGACTTCAGGAAATTGCACCTTCAACACCAGAAGTTGCACCAGATTTCCACTGTTATTGCAGGGAAATGTTCACAGATTTATTGCAACTTCTTTAAAATGTAAGCTTGCATAAGGTGAAGGCCAACAACCCATTTTTACAGCGCCAACTGAAATCCGAGGCAGTAACTACTCCGAGCCCTCCATCTTGCCTATCTATTTTCTTTGAAATTCTTTTCTGAGAGTCTTTTTCTCTAAGAGAAAAAAAGAGACAGCCATTCCCCTGAGTTCAATCCTCCCACAAAGAATAGAGCAGATACTGAAGTACAGGCAGCGCCGGCCAATTCACTGAAGCTTCCAAACTCCTGCGGCTCAGCAAAGGAACACTGCCTCAGCAAATCAAATCACAGAATGACTTTTCAGTTGCACTAACTGACACTTTCCACTGCCGCACCTCTGGAGCGCGCCTACACTCAGTTCAATCAAACTACGATCAGTGTCACATAATTTGCTGAAAAATTCAATCAAGTTTTATTTCTGCCCTAGAATTTTTGTCTGTAGCCCGAGACAAAGGTTTGCACTACGGATCTTTCATTTGATCGCGTCTGGAACGAGAGCAATGGGCCAAGCCGTACTCTAAAAGCCTCTGGCTGCCACCTCTCACGCTCCAAGCACTTCAAGAGAAAGGCCAGCAAATTGGAGATGGTTCGGGGGACTGTAAAACCAGGCCCGGGTCCATCCTGCCACTAAAACTGATTTATACCGACGGGAAACCCTGATCTGCATGTCGTTAAGCAGGAAAAGCATCTCCCAGGCACCCCTACCTGCCCATAAGGAGACGTGACTTATGGGCGGGTAATCGGCCAGAACAGTAGGCGTGTCAGCCTCGCTGCTACCACGTGTAAGCTTTACACAACCTATAACACCTAAACACAAAGCGAGGAAATACCGACGTGTTCGCTTCATCTCTGAGGCTCAAGCAAGACATAGATCCGGAACACCCACCACGGCATCACGATCTACACGTTTCCTGCTAAAAGGAAATGTTCAATATCGCAGAGATTAGAAGAACTCTAATTGGAAAGCCCATGCTGACAATATGCTGAAGAAAAATGGGCCCAGATGATAAAGCTGCCTTTTTTTCTGGGGCATCTGTAAACATGTGTGATTTACTGGCCTTTGGTACATTATGAAACATTATAAAAGATACCTATTTCCTTGTTGCTAAAACAATGACAAATCTATCAATCAGGGCTCAACAGGGACCTCACTCCCATCCTCCCCCTCCTATTTGTATAGCCTCATAATGAGAAAAGAAAATGAAAATAAATCTCAGCAGTTTCCCCGATCCTCGTGCAAAGCCCGGAGCTGGGACCGTGTCTGTGTTGTAAAATGATCGGGTGCGAGGCAGACTTGCAGAGAGATAGATAAGAAGAAATAGTGCTGTCTTCAGACAAATACAGTGGAAGAGAGATGGAACAGATTAGGGCCCAGTTGCTGCTTTATATTACTCTAAATACATCGGCATGTGTCAGCGTAACCCAAATCACTGTTGCATCACTCACATGGAACACGACTCTTAAGGCAGCCGTTGGCAGGAAAGACCAACAAGCAACGCTGTCAACCCTGTTTTTCTCAGGCCTTCCCTCTCACCTCGCTAAGCTCCTCTGCCTTTACATACAATACATCTACTACTCGCTGATTGTTTCTTTTCAGCCATAAAATCACCAACATGGATCTCAGCCTGATGAACACAAAGTTCCACTACACTAGCATTCCGTATCATAATGCGTAGTGCTTTTATACCCCCCCCACCGCCCAGTTACACCCGCTGGTTTACAGATGGACAGCGTTGCCTGGTCAGTCAGAGAGCAGCAGTCCAGTAGGCAGCTCTGCTGCCGCAATGTCATGCCCTTCATATGTCACCCTGACAGACGGCTGTAAAAGTTTTCAGTGTGTTGTAAAAATGGAAATGGCGTCTCTGGTCTGCGATAGAATGGGCTGCACGTGAAATTTATTTCAAATCTCCTTGGGGGAGATATGTGTGGCGCTCGCTCCGGTGCCGCGTGCGTGTTAAATCACAGTCACTCTCCTCTGCCTCTCCCTCCTCTTGATTTCCTTCTCACTATCCTGTTTAAAATTCATGGACTTCCTTATCTCTTTTTTTTGGAAAATGATAATTATAATTCCCCAGAGTCTGCCAAAAGTGCTTAAAAAAACTTGATTGTGGCACACTCAGGAGGCATGTTCCTATAAAGATTAACGCACAGCAGACTGATGAACATGTGGAGTACAACAATCCATTCACGGAGAGACAAGATGTAGAAACAATGAGAATTACATGATTTCCCATTTGAAGTTATTCGATTGTAGTCAGTTGGTTCAAACAAAAATAATAGCATTTCATTGCATGAATGTACAGTACCAATCCAACGTTTGGGTACATTTTCTCACTGTACTGTATACATAAATATAGCACAACAAATGCGGTATCAGAATACATTACAATATGGATAAAAAATATGTACAAATCAACAAAGTTGAGTCAAGCTCACCTGTTAAAGAGCTGTCCAGGTTGTCCATGCTAGACCCCGGTGTGTGCTCAATGCCGCGGGGATGTCTGGCCCCGTAGCCTTCATCCTCCTCCTCCTCCTCTTCTTCCTCCTCCTCCTCGTCCGGGAGGTCAGTCTCCAGGTCAGAAACCATTGTGCTCGACACGTAGCCCACTGGGGGAGCTGGAGCCAGGGGAGGAAGAGAGCCTACCTGCATGTGCCTGGGAAGAGAAAGGGACATTACTCTGAAACTGAAATCCACCAACAGCGGCCATAAGGAACGTGGAGTAATGATGAATGCAGAGAGCACAAAGGGAATATTCAGTAGTTATGCTGAAAATAAGGATGTGAAAGGGCACAGCTAATTTTAGAGAACTCCTTCATACAGTGTGCGAAGCAATGAATAAATTTGGACAATTCCACTAATTCTACAGTGCAGCTTGCATGCTAACACAATGACCCACTAATTGCTGCTGTGGATGGTACAAAGGCGTGCTCTGCAAGGCCCGCCGACACATGGCTGTCACCTCAGTGGCAACCCGCTCTGCTGACAAGCGCATTTGTTTGAGGAGTGCAATTTCTTTTGACGCGGTTTGCAGTGGGAATTGGTTGTAATTACTGGCCCTCTGGTGTTGTCAGAGATGCTCTCTAACCAACGTAGTCATTACTGGGTAACACGACATCCTTCCCTGTCAGCCGCACCCCCACTTCACCATTATGAATGAATGCCAGTCTCCCTGCGTCGCCGACGGAATAAGGCACGGCCTTCATCCGACGTACATGCGCACAACAACAATGGAATGTGCTCCAGGGGTGAGAGGGAGGAGTAAACAACCGTAGGGAAGAATTATGTATCTTAAAGTGGGGAAAAGGCAGTCGTCGCCTACATGGTAGCAGGGGCCCATTGAAATGAAATAATGAATGGCTTTATCTCTTGACATGAAGAATGCTGCAAGATCAAAATGAATCCAGACCGAATAAATGTAGAACAGAATGTACAGTAAGCCTTTCAAAATACATACATATATATAACATTGTGTATTTTCTGGATAGATGGCTGGATAGATAGGTATTGATAATGCTGTGTCAATACTGAAATGTTTACCATGTCTGTTTTGCCATGTCCATTTGGTACGCTCTGGTCAGCTCATCCAAATGGGCCTGGAGCATGGGCTGCATCTCGTCCCGAGGGGACGGGGTGAGGGTGGCTGTGGACTGCTGCCCGAAGGAAACAGCCGCTGGGGAGGAGGCGACCCCTCGGATGGGCGGGGTGGGAACCCTCTCCTCCTCCTCCTCCAGCTCGTCCTCCATACCCTGGTGAAGATAGGTCTGCACGGGCATGGGTGGACCCCAACCATCACTCTCATACCTAATGTGAGGAACACAAAAGTTCTCGCATTTAGGAAAGAATTGTGTGTCAGATCTGTTGGTCAGTGCCTGCAGCAAACATTTTATATCAATTTCACTTCTTCCCTTTCAGATTTTTTTTTAAATAATGCAAAAACACAACATTTGAAAAAGAAATGCACCAAAACAGAAATAATTAGCAGTTCGGATTAACAAATTAAGAAAGTGATTGTAAAAGGATGACTAAAGAGTTCTCTTAACCAATTTCTTCCTGCTCTCCTCTACTAAGAATATAAATCAAAACAACCAAACCAAACCAATCCAAAAATGCTAATGCGTCACACATATTAAACACCGGCCATTTATATTTATTGCTTTGGCTAATAAAAAATATATAAAAATAAATATATTTTACCACATAAAGCTTTGTGACCATATCCAACTTTGAAAAATGATGCGTTTTACGACATCCTGAGTGGAATTATGAAGGTAGTCGGGCTTAACTTCCTCATAGCCGTGCTTATACATGCTGAAATAATACTAGCCATAAAGAAAATGTTCATTAAAGAAATTTGTCAGTGCACACTCCACAGGACATAACTGTTTTAATCTCCAGCCCTTAAGAGCAGCCTCAGATTTACAGTGCACAGGACTCCCCATTTGCCAGATAGCCTATTAAAGCAGATGACTCTCCCACTCTGAAACGGGAGTAAGAGGACACAGCACCATGGGGAACTAAAAGCGACAACATCATTTAAATAAGCTTCTGTTTCTTTGTACCTACAGCAAAGTATGTCTAAACCTCTGTTGGATTCAACAGGATAAATTAAGAAAGACTAATATGTCAGCTGATTCAGAGGTGAAAGAAGTTATGGAATTAAAGAAGTAATTAGTATTGCATTAAACATCTACAAGAACCCAGGAGTTTTTGTTACATCTACTTTAGACTCGGAGAGGGATTTAACAATGCTATGAATCACTGTCTCTGTCCGTCTGTTTCGGGTTTTCACTTCTGAAAAAATGCAATTATGATTTTTTCCCCCACGATGGAATTGAGCAAATAGATTAATCTGAAACCATCTGTGTGTCTTCACGCTAGAATCGGCAGGAGACTGGTCGAACATTTTTTATTTATTTTATCCTCCATTTATTTTCCTAGTGATGAAGTCTTCGCTTAGATTGAAGACAGGATCAGCAAATAGTTTGATGTGCAGCCATCTGGATATGAGTTTTTTTGTGAAAGCCTGCCTGCGTGGACATTGATCCTTCACTTTTCTCCAAATGTACAGTAGTACAGTAATTTGCAGCAGAGAACACAGAGCTGATCCCTGACATTGCCCACAGCAACGTGTGGTGTCGCCTCCGTTGGCAAAATTCTTTTTTGTTCCAGAAAGCGAGACACCAGATTCTCTTCCCCTGAGGTAGTGAGATGCCAAAGCACACAACAACCACAATACGTAGGCCCAAGTGAACCACAGGCATGGCAATCTCTATGATTTACAGGGAATACAAATAATGTACAGGGTGTAAAAAAAACCCACTTTCTTTAAGAAAGTTGGCAGCTTATCGCCAAAATTTTACGTTTGTGTTCAATTGTCGTATGGTGCCGTTTTTTTTAGCTCAGTAATGTATAGGTTTAGTTTCCCACCAAATATGAAAAATCTTATTTATCATCATACTTGAAAATATATATTGAGAAATGGAAAACTACAGGCTGTAACTGTTAGTGACTTGGGCGGGAGAAGGCTGGCTAACTGAACTGAATCAAAACGGTACCACCAATAAGAATGTAAACATTAAACATGTTCTTATAAAACTAAAGGTTCTGTATGTAAGATGGGAATTAAATAGTCTCGAAGGTTTTAACATCTGACCGTGAGGTAAAAAACAAAAACCTGTGCAGCATCCATCATGCTTAATCCTGCACTGAACAATGTTCATATCCAAATAATGTATTGATATTTGTTTAAAGGCCTTGCAGACATACCCTCCTCCGTCATGGTGCTCATTGGGATAATGGTCCATCTCAGTGCCAGGCAGAGGGTGAACAGGGGGAGGGGGGAGGGGAACGTTGGCCCAGTTGGATCCATTGGCTTTAGTGGGTTTGGAGCTGCTCTTGGTCTTCTTCTTCTTGCCTCCCTTCCCACCTACAAAAGGAAAGATTGAATTTAGAGACACAGTCATTTGAAATTAGATTGTAAAAGAAAATCCATTAAAAACTAATATACAAGTGGGATAGCATTGCAAATTACAGTAGGTGCTCTTGCCGTGTGACAAATGTGTATCCACGTGAAACTCAATTTAGTCCAACCATGCTGCGTAGAATACAGATCAATCAGTACTCAGTTTCAACATAGCCTTAGCAAATAGTACACCATTTCAAACACAAGATTTCTATGGGCTCCTGCCTGTCAGCTCTTACATAAAAAAAACTCAAGGTTGCAGGATGAAAAGCTTGCATCCATTGATTAATTGACTGAAAAGCCTCCAATCTCCATAGAAACGGGTGAGAACGGCAGTAAACGAGGTTGAGGCAGACCTTTGTGCTTCACCAATCTCTCAGTGTACCTTTTCACACCAGGCTTTGGGTTTCACAATGAAATATCTCACTTCACAGCATCATCATAATGAATGGCTTGTGTAGTGTCAGAGTGTCCCTAATGGAATTCAGTGAGAGTCTATTACTACTTTCATTTCTTTTATTACACCGGAGAGACGCTAACCCCATCCATTTCCCCTCATATCCCTCTAACACCACAACCTCGTCTGTCCCATCCATCTTTATAAAACTGCCAGCCAGGTCAATCCTGTTTTTTTTTTACAATTTGGTCAGAGTGGAAGAAACCTATTTTCCTAACCCATTTGACTTCAATTCCAATCAGCTTTTAAGTTTGGGTTTTTTACACAATGCACAAATTCCTGACAACGAAGACGTGCTGATGTAAAATGAATCCTAGATCCTAGAATGTAAAAGGTATTTTTTGTTCTGAATCTTAAAAACAAAACAAAAAACACTGCATTTCAACTCTAATTTCTTGTAATAACTCATCAATAAAAATGTTGTACAGTATATAGATAGATAGATAGTATATCTATGAATCCATTTCAGGCAGTGGCCTCCCTACTACTAAAAAAATAGCATCTTAATCCAGGAAATACCTCAAATGGATGTCCCAGGCCACACAGAAACGTGGGAGCCATCTTTGGAAACACTGTTGAACATTTGTATCTGACCCCTGTAATCCCATTTCCCACTGCCACAGAAAAAGGCTGTAACTTTTGAAATGTAAAATGATGCACTCTAATGCAGAGGTCTTCAACAGGGGGTCCGTGGAGTCAGATCGCGTTTATGCTCAAGTCTAAAGCGCGCAAAGCTCAAAAATAAAAGATGGCGGACCAAACTCCCTAGAACAGGGGTTCCCTGCTCCATCTTGCCATCCGTTTGGGGGCCTTGGCCTGAAAAACGTTGAAGACGCCTGCTCTAATGCATTTGAATAAACTCATGTGATTTGCGCAGTTAAAAGCAAATATCCGTCATCAAAACGGAATATATAATAAATATTGAACTTCATGGAGGCCAGATGACAGACAAATACGAAACAATATACATCCAGAAATTTACATTACGATACTATTAATAGTCTTAAACCAGGAAGAAGAACAAAAGCACTAAAAAGATCATTATGGTAACAATTCTGAGAGATAGAAAGGGTGTCAGAATAAGATTAATAAAGAATGGAGGTAATAAAAGAAACAACTGTAAGCCCAAGGCCAGCAGCACCACAGCGTAAGTATAGTCTGAAAGTAATTGCATTTCCTAATCGTACCTCTGGGCGACGCTTGACTTTTACCAATAAATGGTGAGCTGACATGATTGTTCTATCATCCTAGGTCTCTCCGCACAAGACCAGCCATCGGTATTGTAAATGAGCCTCTTCCAGGGAATCATGGTCTGGCACTGGGCTTTCAACAGTTCACCCCAAATATGAAAAATACAGAGAGAGAAGCTGTGGCTAGGAGCTATACAGGAACTACCAAGTCAACCCATCTCCGCTGGCAAAACTAGGCCCGTCTTCAAAGGGGAACTCATACTAAAAATAGACCCAGCGTTGGGTATTTATACCCGAAGGTTTGGGCGCTCCCAGCCTGTAACTGCAGGGCTGCATATCCCCGAGCTTGCTCTGTTTTCATTGGATGCGTCAGGGCAAACGGGGAGAAGCCACAGAGCAAAGACACGGGAAAGTACGCAGCCAGATTTAACTTATGAGTGGGAGAGCGTCCTTCAAGAAGGACATCAAAAAATGAAAATTGAACACACATTTAACAATATATGGATAAATAACAAGATAATTCCTAACGAGATGTGATACAGCGCATATTGAGCGTGCAGGAGCACAACAGGACACACACACACACACAACAGTGGACTTCACGCAGTGAGGGACGTGCTACAGGAAGACGGAGTGTGAGGGAGCTGTGGAGTCTTCAGGGTCTCAAACTGAAACAGAAAACCCCAGCTTCCTTCTTCCCTGACACTAAGAGGGGTTTTAATGAGCAGCTTCAGGTCCCCAGTGGAGATCCACGCTGCCATGAAAGCTGCTCTATTTCTGTTCCTTTTCATCCGGCTCTCCTCCTTCAGACCTGACATTCATTATTCCTTCCATCTCCTCAGAAGGAGCGCAAGACCCTATAATTTCAACTTTTCCTCCTCTTTCAAATTTCAGTGCTCTTCTTCCTGTTCAATACAGAAACGGTTCCAATGAATATCACACATTATGTTAATTAGTTCAATTTACAGCACCGTTAATACAGGTGATGAATTATTCTCTCTTCTGTCGTATTTCTCTATTATTGTTTCAAAAAAATGTGCCAAGCTGTTCACCAAAGTCCCTGACATAGTGTTTGTACCAGCTAACAAATGATTACATATATTGATATGGAATACTGCGTAAGGGTATGGGCAGGAGGGTATTGATTGACCGAGGTGAATTATTTTAACAATACATTTATTCTGATATGTTAAACCCATCTCCCTCACAATATTCCTACTCTGTTAGCCTTTATATTCAAATATGTACTTCCAACATTTTGGGGAATATACGCTTACTCACTTTCTTGCACAGATTTAGATTAATCGATGGATACCAAGGGACAGAGTAAGGTTGCCCTCTGAACCCAGCCTTTATGCTAAATAAGCTAAGAGGTGCCTGGTTAGATCGGAATCCTTCTCTAATTCTCTGCGAGAAAACTGAATGCATGTATGTATTTCCATTATTCCATTTTATTTGTGCCATGCTTTCTGAGTACATTTAATCTAAAATATTATACATTGGAAGGATCTTTCTTGTTGATCATGTTTCTCAATCTCACAATAAATGATAATAAAACAAGATTCCAAGCCCAGACAAAGCCCTCAATAATCTTTGTGTCTGTGGCAAGAATCTGCCTTTAAGGCATGGCCACTTCACATCCCTTCCTCCATTGAATTTCAGACCAGTTAAGGCGGTGGCTTTTAACTAGATAAGGAGGAGAGAGTAGGGGAGGAAGGCAGAGGGCGGCCTTGGTGTCCTATAAATGACATTGTAATTCTCTCAACATGGGTTTTAGTGTAGTCGGCTGCCATTAGGGGAAGAGTGGAAAAAGGGAGGTATTTTTTCCACTTTATCCAGCCGAGCATCTCTAATGGTGTGTGTGTGTGTACATAGTCCACTCTGTCTGAAAGACTCCCTCTGCCCTTATTCCAGTCTGCTCACTCACACAGAGAGACAAAGCCTTTCCAAGGATTGGCACTGATGACAAAAACCCAGCATTAGCACTCGCACCAATACAGACAGTTCCTCTATGCTTCAATAAGCCGTTGACTCCTATTTAATAGCCCAATACGATTACAAACCGCAGTAGCTATCGTACTCAGAACCCCATATAACAAGAAAAAAACGATGTATCCACCCAGCGTTACGAAATCACGTGTAAGCAACGCATCTTTGGTGATGAAGAGGGGCCGTGTACATTTTTTTCTTCCATGTCAGGTTAGTACATGCAAATAACAGATCAATAAAGCAATTAAGACATCAGTGGATCCTTAAGTCAAGCGGCAGAGCCGGGGAGCGCGTCCCAGTTTGCTTCGTGAAATTCTCTGCTGCGTAAACCAACCTGAGAGACTGCCGCTTCGCTCTGAGCTGTTGTGAGAGCTGGTGGTGCTGAAATCTTGTGATTGGTTGTGCGGTATTCTATTAGACAATCCTTCGGCCAATCGGTAGTCAGGAATGAAAAGGAGGGCTACAGTGGGGGGTTGAAGGGCAAAAATCACAGTGGTATCAGGTGATTAGCAGTTAGCACAAGCACATGCACACATGCAGTTAGAGCATTAAGCAAGCAGGACATAATCGGGAGTCATTCATTCAACAAGGTGCACATATTCAACCCTTGATTCACCTTCTGATTCGTGTGCAACGGATATCTGCTGGACACGTTTGATTGGTTGTTGATTTGATAAACATAGCGCTAATCCTTGAATCAATTTTCAATTACATTAACGAGCAGGGAAGATTTTAATTCAATATTTGCAGCCCTTCAAAGAGATTGTCACAGCGTGGGTTTATGTCCTGTTTTATTTTGTAGTTTCCTGCCTCTCGTTTCCCTGGGTTAACTTCACTTCCTGCCCTGGTGTTTTGTCCAGTGTTTGATTGTCTGCCGTGTCACTGATTGATTCCTCCTGTGTATTTAAACCATGTGTGTCCCTTGTCTCCTGTTGGTTCATTGAATTTTCTATGTCGCCGGTGAGTTGTGTCGTATATAATACTTCTTAAAATAATCAGAGGGAGGATTAAAAATGTAGTTTTTAAAGATTCAATTCATTTATGCAAAAACTATAATAAATCTGTTTTAGACCGTTGAAGAGAGAGAGAGAGAGAGAGAGAGAGAGAGAGAGAGAGAGAGAGAGAGAGAGAGATCATAAATATGTATTAGAATAGAGCAGAGGAATTGTAATAAAACCTATAGCATGAAACTCCACTCGGCTTTAAAAAATCCTGCATCAAATCCATGGTAATTCCTGTGGATTATTTTTTTGAACATTAGTCAAGCTAAAATGGATACGCAATTATTCCGAAACTGAAGAAGGAGTGGTACTATTACAAAAACCCAAGAAGAAAATGGATGGATGACTTCACTGCACTACTCATTCATGAGATATTTATTCAACCTCGGAGAGCGACCAAGATCATGTCTGTGTGGGGAAAATGACTCTTTTTAAAACAACTTCCCTCAAGCCACAGAGACTTTAGGAAGGCTTCAAAGACTTTTGGTGGAACGGTCTAATCTCCAAAATAGCCGTCGTCTTCCAACTGTAATTGTGTGGCTTGTGATCTGGCTTAATTCACTGTCGCAGGATAATAATAATCTCCAAGGAACACTATTGTACATATTCTATTTGCCCGCACACGAGGTCCAATAGTTGAATCTCTATGAGCAAACTGTCTCCCAGAGAAGCTTACTGTTGTTGCAGGAGTTCTTGTCAGGCAAGGAGTATCCCAGATTTGCCATTTCCTGCTTAGCCTGGAGTGAGGCCTTCCACTGGGCCTCCGGCAAATCCACAGCCAGCTCGTGGATGCTGCTGGAGTGGAGAATCTGGGTGGTGGCATAAGGAGTTGCTTGGGATATTTGGCCAGGGCTGTTGTAGTTGGCTTTAGTGGTGAAGTCTATACTACTGTAGATCGCTCCATCCGAGAGCATGGTGCCGCTCTTGTCCCCTTGCCCAGTGGGAATATCTGGAGAGGAAGAAGAGACTGAGTGCATAGGATACTTATCTTCTCAAACTAATGCTGTGCCCAGCTTTATTTAAATACAAACGTTGATTTGGTTTGCGGCTGATAAAGAAAGAAATATCTATCTAGCTGTACATGAAGGCTGAGATGTGACCTGAGATTCAAGTGCATATCTGTGTGTGTGTTATGGAACATCCAGTCTGGGTCCATGTGCTTTTAAACATCACTCGTTTTCCTTTCTTCTCCTGTAAACCTACATGAGAGATAATGCTGCTGCTCAGCACGTGTGTGTGTGTGTGTGTGTGTGCGTGTGCGTGTGCGTGTGCGTGTGTGATGACTGAAGGAAGGAGAGAGAGCGGTAGAGAGAGCTAGTGGACAAGCTAGCAGACTCTCCATGGCGCATGGTTTGTATGCCCAGTGAAGGGGAGATGATGTAGAGCCATGGCGGAAGTGCCCGCATCTGCGCCAGTCAAGCTGCGCACGTCCTTCACGACTGGCTGCTCAAGACCATCCTTTCAAACTCCCGCCCCCTGCTCCTCTCCCGTCTCTTCCCTCACGTTCTCTTGCTGTGAGATATGGGCTATGACACCAGGCTGGACTATCTGCCATTACTCAGCGCCGGTGACAGCGGAGCCCCCCCACTGTGAATGCTCTAGCTGTCCCCTCATGTGATGTATAAATATGAACGCAAACACGCATGCAATATGCATACGTGTGTAAATCTTGATCGCATGTGCGTGCGTGATGAAAAACAGTAGAAGGCCGTCATCTTTCACCGCCTACGGTCTCTTTCTCACAACATCTGCACACCAAGGCGCTCACCTCCTCGACCAAAGTTACTCAAGTCGTTGGGTCCCCCGGAGCTGCTGTTGACAGGCAGGCTGGTGGCCGGCCAAGAGTCCGCTAACCAGGGGTATCCCGGGTCACTGGAGTTGAGCAGGCCTGGCCGGCTACACGGGATGAAACGACAGATTAGACACAGGCTGCGAAACTGCATTAATAAAAGAGCTTTTTTTGTACAAATAAGCAATCACCAATTGCTTATTAGGCACGGTATGTTTAAATGTCTCTGCGAGATAATGTGTTTGTGTGAGATAAGCTTGCCATAAGCCAAAGAAACACTAGTGAGATAGGGGCAGATACTGTATGGACTCATTTTGTCTCTCGCAAAGTTGGAATTCCTTCAGGCAAACACAGCCCTTTATCTCTCCCTGCTGTGTCTTTGTCACATGCGCTCACATGAGTTATTACAGTAAAAGCACACTGTGGAGACACTTATGCACACATTTTTATCTCTTTGCACGCTGACACCCGCATGTATACATTTCCTTATTCATTAATATCTTGCACGTTCTGCTGTGTTTCCCCATCAACCCCTTGTGGTGATGGCCAGACAGTGTAAATCTTATTTGATGAGATGTCAAAACTCGGCCCCACCATCACGGCCCTGAACCCACTTGTGGGATGCCTGAGTCTGGGAGAGGCCAGCTCCATTTAACAGGTGTTGTGTCCTTCCTGAGGGAGTGGGGACCATAAAAAGCAGCCATTAAGCCTTTAACCTGTCATGGGTGACTGCTGGGAGGCCGTTAGGATCACTTTACTGTACAATCCCGTCTGAGGCTCGTTACCATGGATAACACAGATGGAGTTAAAGGACAATTACAGGCCGAGTCAAAACCCTCGTTCTATGTATTAATTCATTGATACGTCATAACCTGCTTTTTCCATTGAACTGGTAAGCTACAGATACTAGTGTTATCACATGTTTGACCTGACAAAAGACTTGAAAAAGGTACTTTATTGCCTCTTCTTTTTATTTTACCCTGAGAATTCACACCCTGCGATGTGCAATGGTAGGATGAGCACCACATGTGGCCAAAGGGATGGCACCGCCTCCTCAGAAACACAGCACACCCCGCTGTCGGTGCCTCTCACAGTGCCGTATGTAGCAGACTACAGATACACGTGTGCGCTCTGAGAAGCCGCGGCGCGGAGTAGTTAGCAGCCTGCCTGCCCGGCGGGGCTTTCTGTCTCGGCTCCAGCGGGGTGACGTGTCGGCTCCGAGGGACCGAGAGCGAGTTAAGCCCTGAGGACAAGGGCAGGTAATGGCCGTCAGTCTCTCCCTCAGACACAAGTTCTAATGAGAGGAGCTGTTCCATAGAGGGGGAGTCCAAATGAACTGCAGCCCTGGCGAGCTAAGAGTCCTCGCCGTGGTTCCTGAATGCCAAAACAGGCCCTCGGGGGAGACAAGTCATTCAAATTGATGGCTGTGCATCAGACACATGCACTTTTATAGGGTAATATATCTCTCCTCCGTCCTTCAACCTCTGTTTCTGGATACCGTGTTCCCCCCCAGCCATCATTTTCCTTCACCGAACCATTTTTCCCTAACCCTACATACATTTTTCCCCCCCCCCCCCCCATATACACCTCCACCTCCTTTTTCTCTTAACTGCTCTTTGAGCACTCCGCACGCGTCAAGACTAAAAAGCAGATGAAAAAGAAAAGGACATTGTTCTATTCCGTTGACTCCAGCAAGGCTGCAGCACAAATGCACACTGTCTCAATTAAAAGCCCCCTGCTTGCCTCGGTCTCTTTACAGGTTTCACTTGCCCGGCCTGCCACAGTGAATCCTGCCCTGACCACTAGAGCGAGACCATTAGCAAGACAAGGAGCTTCCAGTAGCAATGGCTGCATCGTCCTTGTATTTATCATACAGCAGATTGATAATTGGAATAAGACGGATTTTTCTGTCTGTGTGTGTGTAAGAAAAGGTGGACACACACATCTAATAAAAAGTCAGCCTTTAACTTTTAATCCCTGCCCAACCTAGGATGGATGGCAACCTTGGCAGACAAAATTAGATTTGGAGTTCCTCTTACTGTTTGATTTTACAGTTACTTGTGATGGCTAGGAAACCATAAATACTGCCATAGATGCCTGACACTAAGCTTCCCATAAATAATCCCAGTGAGAGATATTAAAGCCAAAGCAACCTCGTAAATAAGGGGTTCCAAAGACTACTGGATCAAATGAGGATTCAAAGTCTTGACATTAGCTAACACAGCAATTTGAAACGCAGATTACTTTCTAGATTAACTCTCAGTGAACATGCTGTCATCAGGCATTCAGTTCCTGGGAAATAAAGGTATCTTCATAGTAGCCATGTTAGTACAAAATGTTCCCCATTATCCCTGCCTGAAGGAGTAAATCTGCTTTGTTAAAATATTGATCAGTGCTGGGATAGGAAGTTATTAGTACTATCTAATTAACATCTCTCTATTGGGGAGAAAATGGGCCATTATCGGCTTTTATCAATTTCAATTGAGCAGCCAAAGTCAAATTGTCCAGGTCTACCAATCTGTAGCCTATTCATCTTCCATGAATCATTTATTTTGTGATCGATTAAGCGTAATTGTTCGGTCAGGGCAATTTGGCAGGAGCCAATGAGAAACTGGAAACAGATGCGGCTTCATTTTCCATTGTCTAATTAATGCAATAAACATATCATGTAACAAATGAACACATTCTCCTCTGATACTCCTCTGCACATTCTCACTCTCTGAGCAGATGTGCGAGTTGCAACATCTGGGATTTGATGCCACTAGAGTGACTAACGGATCAGAGGCTTGTGTAAGAATTCTAGAGTGCATCCTGTTCCAGCCTGGCGACAACTGTGGCAGTTGAATAAAGATATAAGAAATACGGAGCACCACCAATACTGCCATTTGAAATTCCATTCGCTGGTGTGAGAATCAGAACCACTTATGTGGAAAATTGGAGGAAAAACACTACAGCAGAAAGTAGATGAGAATAAGCACGGCAAGTGGTGTGGCTAATTCATTGAGAGCATACTGGCAGCTCACAGAACAATATCGGCAAAAATCATCCACAGTGGCCCAGAGTCACATGCACACCGAAATGGAAAGGGGGGGGCGTGAATGGAAAAATTATGCAACCGAGCCGCAGAAGACACATTCCCAAAAGCACAGAGACACACAGGGTCAGATTTAGTTGGCAATCTTGCCGTGAGTGTTTGAGATCTGGAGGCTTTACCCAGTCAGGGGTAATAAGCAGAACATAGACAGAAACCCGGGATTCTCAAGGGAGTCTCTTCTTGAATAGCCACAAAGGCTCAGTAACCGGTGTCATTGAGATGTGCCCTGTTCTCTGTTGCCCTTCTCTTTTTCACGAAGACACGCTGAAAAGCAGCAGGCCGTATGGGGGTGCGAGCAGGGTACCTCTGCACACCTCTCCCCGGGGTAATTATTTTTACATTATTACATGTGCTCAGATCCCAGCCGCCCACGCAAGGTGACAGGCAAATTTATCATTCCGCAGGGCTTCTGGTTTGCCAGTAGCCAGCAGCGGAAGATAAATGACAAAATAAAAGCACTCTCTGCTTAAATTGTTTCTGTTAATTCTGTTGAGGAGATTTATGAGTTCATCTATCAATGCATGATCGGAGATGTGGTAGAATTGTATACTTGGACGCGGGTTCGCATGGCAGGCACACAAGCAGGTATAGGCTATCTATCGATTCATCAGTCATCTATCAGTGTTAAAATCAAAAGCTGTAGTCGTAATGCGTGACCGCGGAGGACAGTTTGTAGACAGTAGACATGTAAAGCTTAGGAGGGATCGAATAAAATGACAATGATGGGAAGGTGGGTGTTTTATTTGCTTGGGATGTTGCACATGAATGCTGATTGCCATTGTTTGGTTTCCGGTGGGACACTCACCTTCCGTTGCTCATCAAGCCGCCGTCCACTCTCTGGAATGTCACTGAAAGCAGCCAAGACAGAACCCAGGAAGCAGATAGACGGAAGAAAAAAAAAAGACAAAGCCAAACAGTAAGTCTTTCTGGTATAATAGATAGCAATGAACAAGGATGTATTTCCATGATCAAAAAGATTTTTGTTTCAGTGTTGTCCAGTTTGCCCTTGTGCTTTAACAGCAATGTATTAATTCGTTAGTTGATGAATTCCCTGAGCGATACCTCTGCGTTCCAATGCCTTTCATGGAAATGAAAAAAGTGCAATGATGGGAATTGCATATCACTTTGCTTTGCATAAGTGGAGATGTCATGTGCTCCTCAAGGACAAGATTCCTGATGAGAGGCAAAACTCATTTCATCTTTCTTATTTTGCTGCTGAGTTATTATCAGATTTGTGATTAAATCGCAGCCCAAAAATGATTAGAAAAGGCAGAGGGCTCATTAATCACGTTGAGTTTTCTATCCACAGGCGTGGAAACTGAGTTACTGATCCTTCAGCTGGCAGGGCTCCACAGAAGCCATGCACGTGGCCTGTTCCATTACGGTGATCTATAGATAACAGGGGCTGCTCTTTGTCAACGGCTAGTAAAAGTCCACGGCTCAAAGTGCGAGACGGCTGTAAAGGATCCATTTCATCTCTGCTCAACGACCATGATGAAAAAGCAAACAGCGAGAGTGGGAAGCATGTAAGAACTTCAAGAGATCACAGGAGGCACAGAAAAGCAGCGAGACTTGTGGAAATCACCTCCTGCCGATGGGGGTTCCGGGGTGGAGGGGGGGGGGGGTGTAAAGAAGAGAGTTGGCTTTACTCAACAGACGGAAAGAGAGCTGTTAGTAAATTAGCTCATTTGTTCCACAGATGGAGATTAAAGAGAGGAGGCTGCACATTCCTCCTCTCCTTTCTGTTTCATTCAGGTTGATTCCGCAACAAGCCCTGGCGAGACTGGGGGCTTTTTTGTGGGTGACGTAGTAACAAAGATGACAGGGTAGAGGAAACTACTGTAACATATTGCATCGGCAGCCAAAATGGTATTTTAATGTGCCGTCAATATAACCTGATTTTACTTAATCCAATGTCCTCTAACAGAATTGAGTGACTTTTAGTTTTTTACCTATTGCATTTGGGTTCAAGCAACTGCACAGCTCTAAGTGGAATTAAAATACTTTTACCAGATAAAACCTTGCAGGTCTGCCTGAATAAGACAGAGACAGAGTTCCTTATTTCGCTCGAGCCATTTCTCTTTGTTCCACCACCAACAAACTTGCAGTAGAGAATTTTCAGCCGTTTGAGGAAGGGACTGACAGGGGAAGGAGGGTGGAGGCGAGGGGGGGGGGGGGGGTGCTGTGCAGCGCAAAGGACTCTGAAGTCCCTATCTGTGCTCAGGCACATTTCTGGGCCGCTGTGGAAGACTTTTATGTTAGCCGGAGTGACACGGTGGCATAGCTGTGCTTCTCGCCTCCGTCTTCCAGATAAGCACTTTCTCCAATATGAATACATATTAATCCCCTTTAATAAGCATTATGGAGAGGGTGGAGGAGGGGAGGGGCCGGCAAAGAATAATCATTCTATGAAAATATCATCAAATCTCCTTCCTGCCTCCTTCCTGTCGGTCCCTCCAGTGTGGTGATTTACCTCATGTTCTGACAGCTTTAGGGGGCTGAGACTGGACACTCGCAATACATCAAGTAATTGTCAATACAGAGAAGCGCGCCGCCGTAAAGCACTCTGGCTCATGTGCTAAATATCACGCCATTCTAACTCTATACTCTCTGCAATGTTTTAACTGGTTTACTTCTTCTTTGTCGGAACTATTTTAGCAAAATAACCTGCTTTCACTTTGGCTTTTCCGCGCCTCCTATTTAAAAAAAAGACAATATTTTAGTAACATATCAACGTGCTCCATAATCTGCTAGATCTGCGGCGGGAAGACCAGAGTAAAAAGCTTTTTTGGGGCTATAAGCTTCACATGGACCACATAGCTACAGATGTGCTGTACAAAACAGATTGTGTTGATAATAATCTGCTCAGTGTCGGTGCACTCCATCCTCAGACAGCCAGATGCATGACTGCGTTGCCACTCAGGCTTAAATCAGTAGAGGACTGGGACACTATAACACTGTTGCTTTTTATCGCTAAACAAAATATGCACAGTCACATTAGAGGGAGGAATCATAACAAGTAAAGAACACAAACACTATAGAGAAGAAACACACCACCCCGCTTCTTGACTGACACCTACGGAGAACAGATTTGTAAATTACAACACAAACCTTTTGAGAAAACAAAGATGAATGTGATCAGTAGAGGGGGAGGGAAATGGGCGTCGCACCCCGAACCACAAGAAGAAGAAAAAAGGATAACAAGACAGGATGGAACTTTCATTCAAAAACAGCGACAGACGTAGGCACAATTACAACACAAAAGGTAAATAAGGCTGTAGGTTTGGCAGGAACAAATGCTCAAGTTTGTTGGGCTGGGATCATGGCCAATAGCAAGTCCAGATTTCTTTGACTACCAAATTTGCTTCAAAGTTTGATTTGAATGTTTGGATTTGCCTTTGCCATGACAATCAGTCCGACGATCCAAGCACAAATACTGTAAGCGGGCAGGAGATGAATCTTGCGTTACGGTGGGGTGAAGAGACGGGACAAATGAACAGTACCTGCAGGGGTGAAGGTGAAGGACTGAACTGTAAAACAAGAAGACAAGAAACGTTGCGTGTTAATAGCCTGCAGAGACAAGCAGTGCAGCGTCAGGCTGGGAGGGGGTGAGGGTCGGAGAATGGAAGACCACGTCATTGGCCTGCAGAGCGACAGCCAGCTCAGACGCCGCAGAGGTGTAGAGGCGGAGGCACAAACCCAAAGGGGAAAGCACGAACACGCAAATGGAACCAAGCAAAGAGCAAATCAACCAGAGCGGCCAGTGCTGGCTGTAAAATGCAGTTCATCTTTTTCACTTGCTTGAGATGTAAATGAAGCAGAAAAAAAGAAGGTAAACTAATGTTAGAATACACTGTTGCTCTGACTGCAACACTGATGTCTCTGGGGGTTGACTGGGGGGTCACTCAGTGAGATGTCAGGCTCAGTGTGTGGGAGGAGAGCGGGACAAACTCCAACTTCAGTGACCAGCAGAGAGTCCAGTCTGCCCACTCAGCACGACCACCCTGGGCTATTAACCAACACCGTGGGTGGATTTGTCAAAGCTGTAGCCCTCCGAAAAATGATTCACGCTGACATCCGTCTCCCTCTTGAGCTTTGACAACTTAGCAATGTCAACCTCACTGCTAGCAACTTCTACGAGGTTTTAATCAAAGCCGCTGTGATTAAGACTGAAAGACGGTAAAATGTTGTGGCTTTGACGGAGAACAAAGACTATTTGTAGATGAACTATACATTGCTTGCTAAGGCACAAGAGCAGAGTGTGGGTGGAAATGTGCATGGGTGAAAAGGAGACTATATTTAATAATGTAATTAGTCTTACCTGCGTAGTTGCTGAGGCCCTTTCTCTTCTTTCTCCTCCAGTAGAGCCAGATGCTGAAGCCCATGAGAATGACCCAGCAGGCCCCTCCGATGCCGGCGATAAAGGCAGGTTGTTTCACAACGTCCGTGATCTGCTCTGTGATGCTGTTGTTGCGGTTTCCATGTATAATCACGTCCCGGAATTCCTTACCTGACGGGTCACGGAGATAAACAGGCAACATTAGCTTGATGCTAGGAGAATAATAGAAAACGAAAATGTTACACTTTTTCCACTGGGCACATGTGACACCTACAGATGAATCAAAACAGGGTTACGGCAGGATTAAGCTCAAAGAAAGTAGGTGTGATGAAACGCAGCTGAGATATTGACCCATGGAACTAGGACGACGGTCAAAAGGATGTGCAGGGAAATTTAACGTACAGACTGAAAAAGACAAAGCCTGAAAGCTTATTGCAACCCCCCCCCAGGTGAGCAGGTTGTTTGCTAAGCTCGGCCACCTAATTCACTCCTTTGCCGGCAAAACACACCATGTGAAATGAAAGGTGAGCATCCTGGTGTGTATTGATCTCCACTCGCAGCTCACCCACAACAGAGCGCATGCCACTATTTCTTGGAGCATGAGACAAGACTCAGAGCAAATGTTTCGACACATTGACGGGAAACAAATACACGCGCATGTAAAGCTGCAGAGATGCTCTTCGTCCTTTACAGCACTGTGTAACCACATGGAAATACACACCCGTCCACGGACACACAATCACACAAGATATTATATCTGCAGGCTTGGGGCTCAGCTCTCGGAGATGGATTATGTGAGTGACACTGGGGAAATAAGAACATGCTACAGGCCAAGCCATCAGTTATGGGTCAAATCAGGCTCAGCTCCACATAAATCATTCGTGCTCAG